AAAAAAAAATGCATGAGAATGTTAAAATAATATCTAAGTGAAGTCTACTGTCTACCTTCTCAGGGCGTTGAGTTCATTGTGGGCTTCGGTCCGATTTTGAACTGATCCGAAAACGTGAACGTTATCTGTCCTCGAGAATAAACCGCTAGATTTTGCTATACAGATGGCTGTCTCCAGCTTATCACCCGTCAGCATCCAGATTTTTATACCAGCGTTTCGGAGAAGTTCCAACGAAGTTGTAACTTGATCCTTGAAAAGCTGATGATTACAAAAGGAAAGTTAGTTTCCGATCACATTTAAGCCTAGAACTAATGGTAAGTAATCTTGTACTGTCAGGCATTGTAAAGCCACGACTGAATGCTCGCTCTTCAGAAGCTGGATACTAACGTTTTTGAAAGCAAACATATGTCTTTGAAAAGTAGCTTTCTTTTCTGCACACCCGCCCAACGTGGACGGAGCTCCGCTGAAATACGGAAGCCGTGCACACTACTATTTTTATCTGCCGTTCATGCGTCGGTTGAATCGAGTTTTGAACTTATGTGGAATGAATCGCCTACTAGGAACACTCCCTCCACCGTGCGTGAAATTCCTTCATTTCATTGTTGTCCCCTCCCCCACTTTCGCTCATTTTTCCGGCATCTGGTCTGTTATGAGACGAAAATGGGGAGCTCTGCTCATAACATGTAACAGACAATTTTCGATCTTTTCGATCTACAGGAATCTCATCTTACATTTCTTAATGCAAGAAAATTTTAATGTTACTTTTTGATGTCGTGATATAAATAACCTGCAACCGATCTTCGACACCAGTGAGGCACAGCAGTTGAAGGTCTTTTTCCAGCATTCGATTGACACAATTTTGCATGGTTTGAGACCTATCTGTTATGGACATTTTTGCAGCATGATATGCGCGATCAAATGCTTCCAATTCCGCAGGAGTGAGGATACGTTTAGCCACGACCAGAGTTCGCAGACCTAAAAGGAAGACCTAGTAGCAAAGCACGAATTTTCTTTCGAAACTATTGTACCTTCACGGGCCATATTGCTACATTCTTCTTCAAGCCAATCGTTGTACTGAACCATTCCCGACATCACCGTATCCGCTCCCTTCATAAGAAGTGATATCTCGTCGGAGGTCTCGTCCTGAGGGAAAGAAAACATGAAAGTCTGATGTCAGGATGGATCATGCATAATATTGGCACTATAGAAGAAACGTACCTTCACAATTATTCCCATACGTTTGGTTTCACTCGTAAAAGGGAAAATATGAAGAATCTGGAACAGTTAGTAGTATGAAGCGGAATAGAAGGAATGCTCAAACTCGTTAGAAAAAAAGCTTCCAATAAAGGGAAGAACTAAATTCTCTCGATGGTCAATACTATTCTACTATATATAACGCGCTAAATATGCCTATTCGTTTATCGGTGTAAGTGTGCAGGTTTGACCGGAAATTCAATACTCTTGTCCCCGTGAACGTAGAGCGATCAAATTTGCTAGGAGTGCAGGTGGCGCTCCTACCAAATTATATAAGTGGCACTGCTGGAATCCACTCACAGAGGTGGAGCTTGCGTGGAACTAATGTTAGGCAGTAAATTCACAATTCCTGTTCCAGTGAATCTAGAGCGTTCGAATTTGGTACGAGTAGAGGCGGCAAAATGGGAACACTGTTGGTAAGTGACATGATTAGACTACGCCTACAGGGGGAGGGGCGGAAATTGTTCATTTGGACCTAGAGGATTCATATTTCATAGGGACATACGCTGCATGACACTGGAGGTTGGTGATAGGGATCTTCAAGGAGAGGGAGAGGGGCGGGCGCGAAAACTGTTAATTTGGACTTAGACCGCTCAAATCCGCAGAGGTACAGGCGGCTGAATGGGAACGCTGGTGGTAGATGGCAGAACTGCACTCCATAGAGCGTGCGTGAAAATTTTTAATTTGGGCCTGAATCGTTCAAGATTTATTTATTTAACAGGTGTGCTCGAAGGCACAGCGCACGATAGAAATGGTTTCTATGAATTTCTCCAGGGGCCTAGATAGGGCATAATGAGGGCTCCAAACCGGCTTTGCCGACGTACAAACCTAAGGTGGACCAGTTCTCACGGTGTCGTAGCGCCTGCAGTGGTTGCGCCAATCGCACCGGGACACACAGGTTGTACGTATGCAGCTTACTGTAGAAAGCAGAACGATAGTACGCACACTTGAATAGCTTGTCCATACACCCCTTTCATGCAACTTTTGTTGTTATACTCTCTTCCAACCCCTAACTTTACTACTTTTTTTGAGGCCTTATATTTCTCTAAATACGCCTACGCGCTTTTCTTCGCCACTTTCACACTACTCCGGACCAACACCTCCATTATTCGCCTAAAACTTGATACTCCAAAAATTATTGTGAGCTGTTCCCTCAAACTGGTGAGAGTACAGGAGGTAGGATCGAGACACTGATGGCAGTCAGGAAGTGACTGAGCTGAACTCCAATCAATGGGGAGGGTGCGGTGGAAGCGATCAAAAGGTGCGGGAGACTCGTCTTCCAATTCATTTGTAATAGGAGCAAAACCAACTTGGAACTGCCTAGTCTGTCCGATTCCGAGCTGCAATTGGATTGAATGCAAATCGCGCTGAGCTAATCGTACTCCCACCGTTTCCGTCCATTTCACAAGCGCAACCTGAACAATCAACGTGACGTAAATAACAAACAACCTAAGAATGTTTAGAGCACTTGCGCTATAAAAATTACTTCGTCAGGACTTGCTGCTTGGTAAGACACGGTTCCACCCTCCGCAATTGGTGTAACATTATGACAGAGCGCGATAGCCTCCACAGCTGTCTGCAGCTTAGCAGAAAACGAATGCCTGCAAAATATAAGAGTTTTCTAGATACTTTAATATTTACATTAGATACCAACACAGTCAACTCGAACAATGACTCTAACTCAGCTCGTTCGTGCAAAACCTCTAGAAAGTAAAACAGAAGAAAAGACAAAATGAACTATCACAAGCGCGTTTTTCAGCCGAAAATTTTTCTGGTTTTTCCTTTTATTCTCTTGAAAGATGCGCTTCTCCATGTTGGCTAACTGATATATTGTTAATTCAAGAAAGTAATTTGCCTTCCTAATCTTCCAGAATAAGCACTAGCAACATGTTGAGCCACTTCTTCGAATGCGTCTGAACTGAACGCTACTGTGCCTAGGTGAATCTAAAAGAAAAATGTAAATCAAAAAATTCAAGTAGGACACCATAGCGTTGAAAAACTTATATCTAATATAACCTTTTTAAAATGCATTTCGTTCTTTGTGAGAGTGCCTGTCTTGTCGGAAAGAAGGAAAGAAATTCTTCCAAGTTCCTCTGGTATTGTCGAAGAACGCACGACCGTGTCTGGTATCTGCTTGTCACGTCCTATTTGCCAAGCAAAAAATAGCTGCAACTTTCAAGATGGTCACTTTACTTGGTTTTGTTGCGATCTAACGAACCTTAGCCATATCAAGGTTTACACGCAGTGAAATCGGAATTATGTAGGAGAACAGCAGCACGAAACGCATTAGGTAACGATACCAATTAGTATCCACTCCTTTCATAATAACCATAACTGACGCTAATACCATCACGAAGACAAACAAGAGTTTTGTCAGGTTGTTCACCTCAAAAGGAAAATATAGAAGAACGCAGACATTGGAAAGACAGGTTTTCTCTCGCTCACCTCCAAATCAAGAAGTCCGACTTTGCTTTCTGGTAATGTGGTATTCATTACAGATCGAGTTTCCCTTCCAGTATAAACCACAATTCCTACAGCCGTGCCACTTGCAAGAACTGTATTTGCCCACAAGACATTCTCTACGTTCAATGAACCATCCTGCACGTGGTCATCAGTGGTGACCTATACAACAGAAAGAATGTTTCGCAGGTAAAAACAGAATTGAATCAAATAAACAATAACTAATCTAAACATTACTTTAATAGTTCCAACAAATGCATGAATATCCTTTTGTGGCTTTTCCGCGTAGATTTCACAATTGATTTCCATTATTTCCTAGACAAAAACATTTACGTGATGTCAGTTAGGGAAATCATTACTACATAACGAAATATTAAAAAACCAGAGAAAATACTAACTGCTTCATTCATAAGATGCTGGGTGAATGGTACAGCAATACGTAACTTCCAATCGGTTTCCCCATCCAACTGATCTGTGCGAATGAAACACGCTCCTGATCGTTCCGTCGTACGTAGAAGTACAACATCTGCTGGTACACGTCGATCTTTCGCAATTATAATGACGTCGCCCACCTCTATATCACTAAAAAAGGCGTGAAGCTTATTTTATCCGACAGAGGTGCATTTCAGAAAAAACTCCAAGTGAGAACGGTCTTTTAGAAATCTAAATATGCTTCACCTGCTGTTTACTTCGACCCGCGTACCGTCCCTAGTCAATCGCTCATACTTCTCGCCATTCAACTCTTTATCTCTTAGAAAACGCACGAAGTCATCAAGCGCTTCACGTATCAGTGTAATTGTCAGAACAAAACCCTGAATGAAAATGATGATAGGCGATACTCTTCGGCAAAACCTATTATCATTATATTCATGTGTTTCGAGAGAACGCTAAGTTGACATACTTGAACCAGCTACCCATGAACGCAGTGAGACAAGTATTAGGAGGAAGGTAGGGAATAAAAGAAGGCAGAGGAGTAGAGACAAAACTTAAGGATATTTATAAAAAACTAAAGAGGAAAGATGTCCGCTTGAGAAAAAGAAGTGAAGAAGTTAGACGACAAATAAGCATCAGGAAGCAATTATATGAAAAAAANAAAAAAACTCACAAGTGGGCCCCAATAAGTAATAGGTGCACCGATTTGAATAGCAGGAATAAATTGGCTGCATGCCATAAGCAAGAAGTACAGATTCAAAAAGAATTTGAACTGCTGGAAGAGAACCTGAAACTGACTCATTCTCATGGGTGAGATGCGATGAGCAGTAAAATTGACTTAGAAGTAAACAAATGAAATCGCTATAAGCTAACCCATAACCATAGTTATTAACCACAGGTCTCGCATTCCTACGATAAGTAGAAAAGAAGCTTAAAAATGTAAATATTCGAATTGCTCACCAACGGAACAAAACTAAAGATGTTGTACTTCTGATTAGAAACTTTGTTGGGAGCAAAACCCGCACCATCGCCGCCCACTGGTCCGTATCCGATTCTTACTGTGCGAGAATGCAGAACGCGACGACGACCAAACAACATGCGACAGCATCTGCAGGAAAATCACATAAGAATTATCTTTGAATAGGTTAAGATATTTTCTTAGGTATCAAATGATTTAAGCAGAATCTGCATTGTTCAATTGTAATCCAGCATAAATTGAGCTTCAAAATCTTCTTTCATTTGCGGAGTCTTTTTTCAACCATGGGAGGGCAAGAAAGTCCTTTTACACTATTCATTGCGCTTAGCCCCGAAATTAGTACCTTCTACGTTAACACTTGTGAACATAGTAAACCGAGAGCTTTCATCGAAAGAACTCATAAGGTAATTACGAAATATGGTGTAAAATAAAAAATGGCAGAGAAAGTATACTTGGCCATGGCAAATGTGCTGGAACCGCGAGAGGATACAGAAGGAAGAAGATAAATGTCGTCCGAACCGTCCACAACTATCTGAAAAAATTGATACAGATACTCCAGAAAAAAAAAACGCTAACAATGCCCATGTTAAGAGGAAATCAATAAAAACGAAGCTTTTTTTGTGTGGCCGACAACCCTCCTTTCATTCATGAAAAAAATGTAGAATCAATGAAGTCGGAAACAAACACAACAAGAACAACAAAATAGCATAAGAAATGTTAATAGGATAAGAACCCATGAAGACTTGAGTGTCCCGAAAGTCCATGTATTTTGAGTGTTTTGCATTATGAACAGGATCACAAATGTAGCACTTGCAGTTTTGGGCATGTTGTTGAATAGCCAATAGCCAACACTTCAGTTCCCAATATTTGCAGCCATTTCCTATGCCCTATACAGGAAACATCACCACTGAAGTGAAAATTTGGTTAACCCGAATTTCTTAATAACCATCACGAGAAGAAAACCCTATCCAACATCTGCAGAACAGTTTTCAAAGCCAAGCTTCTGCCTGGTGTATTTGCTTATCTACTCGTAAACGGAATTTGGATCGAACTCATTATAGGCTGAATATGTTTCAGTGGTTAAGTCTAACTGCCTTAAATCTCTTCCAACGTTCGAATACATTTGAATCGAACTCCTTGGCATCAAATTGAAACAAGAACTTCTGTTGCTCACCTCCGAGTCAACCATGAGTGGAAGAAGTCGACTGGCTTCGTCAGCCTCCTCTTGGCAGGTTGCCAATCGGCTGTAGCGCATAAACAGCAAAGTCGTCCAACCACACTACAACGCCGTTTTACCAGCGTGTAGCTGAAACATTGAAATGGCATAAGAAAGTTTATCTTACTTGCAATGATGATAGCTATGCTTCAAGAACTGAAATCTTTCACAACAAAGTGCGAGCAGAAAACATATATAGACATTGTACACCATCGAATCCAAAGCTTTTCTCGAACAAATAGTTCTGCTACCTACGATGTGCGAAAACTTGGGGCATAGTCCAAAACTATCATGGTCAGACATACAAATTTTAGCGATCTGTACCATTCTGATGCTAACCAATGTTAAACCACTTTTTTCCATCGTTTTAAAGCCAAAGTTTACGATAGTTTGGAGATATATTTCCTGAGTGATAATCGAAATGGTGGTACAGAACAAAGAAGCATAGACGGCGAAGACCTAGTGAAAACACGCAGAATTTACAAAATGTAAGAATTCCAGAAGTTAAGCAGGGAATATATGAAATTATGACGACGAAAATGGTATGGAGGGGTCTTTAGGAATATAAACACCACTCCATGCCTAATTCCACGTCACTCCAAGAGACGGGTCTCCTAACCCATCGCCTCCCAAGACGTTGTGATTGCGGAAGGGGGAACGAGAACAAGCTAGTACCAGTCAGCATGGACGAGTGATTGCGACCAAAATTGCCTGATGTTTGCATTGCAATTCAAATGAGTGACGAGGTGCACTGCAATAGAGCAGATCGTGAAAATATCGGGATTCTTTTTCACCGTAACAAAGCGTGACCCGAAAATGGTCAGTTGACAACACGTGTTATGATAAACCCGTTCTAACTCTCCTCTCCTCCCATCTCCCTTTTCCCCGGCAGACCATTGCATTAGAATGCATGCTGTTTTCCCATTTTTATCCCATAAGCTATGCCAGGTTAACGGTGAAGTTTAGAGGAATTCCATACGAATCTAACGGTAGGCCTTCACAGAAGAGATCTAAGTTCAAAACGATGTGAAGTACAATTATGATACCAAAAGTCAAATTCAATACGGTCAAGTAGTGAGTAATATGAAGTCGATCCTCAGAGAACATCAAGAACATTAAATTCGGAGGTACAACATCAAACAAGTTAAATTGCTGAAGTTTTCTTGGAGCAAAGCTGAGCACTGATCAATTGCTCCGGAGAAATGTGGCTTCAACTAGACCCCACACATTTCCTGTTCTTTGAGAAAATATGATTCCTTTCCATTCCCAACGATATCTCGGAACTGCCCTCAACTTTACGGACCATATTATTTTCCCAGTAGGGTTTGGTTCGATAAAATTATGAAATATTCACGACAAACAGTCACAGCTATGATGAATCACCATCCACGTTTTTTTTNTTTTTTTTACAATAAGTTCGACCAATAAAAAGGGCATTCAGATTTAGATTGGCAAAGGAGTTTGTCAGAATCGAAGCTACCATTAAGGTCAATTCAACCAATCATGAATACAAGGATTCCAGACATATTGAACCTCCATTTTACAATCAATCCTACCATGGATCGGAAGGTAAGTTCAATGGTGACATCCTATCGCCTACCAGCAAACAACATAGTGACACTCTATAGAAAGTCGCGGAAGGAGAATAACTGAAACTTCCTAATGCATCGTAACCCCGGAGAATAGGGTGCCAGTTTGTGGTGCTATTTAGTTCTACCCACCGTAGCAGTCTGTAATTGCGTACTGTCTTCAACTACCGTACCTTACGCACACTTTTATTCGGTTCGAAGACTGACTGAGGTGCCTGATTCATTGAGGTACGTCTCACGAGCATGATTTCAAAGCAATTGCAGTTGGGGGAGAAGAGCACACATAAGAGCGTTGCCCATAGGTTTCCACCTAACCCAAGAAGGGAAGGAGCACCGGTGTGGGCGAGTTATTGAATGTTCGGTTCCTCCACCACTCCAACTCTTCCGCGAGGTAACCATCACACTCAATGTGGTGCTCGTGCCCTCCCCATGTTCAGTGAAAAAGCTACATTCCTCTGGAATGACAGCTTAAGAGCGCACGATGGCGGTGTTCATTGTCCCTTTCGTCTCTAATATAGTGTTATGAAACACGGAACAACCGTATTTCACCTGTTTCACTATCGATCACCCAAATAGTTTTCCATTCGGGGTTTTCTTTTCTCGGTCCTCATTTCCACCTGTTCCTAGCTGCGTGTCATTAAATGAGATTTAACATGTAGGAAAACCATAACTGTGTATTTTCTTTCGAGGTGGGGACCACTTCAGTTTCCTAACTAGGTTCTCATGCGAACCGCAAGCTGAAAACTTTCCAATTACATGGCTCGAACAACGCCATGTGTGTCTATATAATGTTTCCATGTCTGTATTGAACTTGACCTTTAGGACCAATCCGATATAGCTCTTGGCAATGCTCTCCGAAAAGCTTGTGCTTCGACTTCGAATGACGATAGAGCTCTTCTTGTGAACGTCACATCATTGACGGGACAGTTGCGGCCACGAAAAGCGTTAAATTAGAGGGATTTTAACGTGCCGTGAACGTGTAACGTTACCCCCTAGTGCCCTAGCACCCTCCCCCACGGGGTTAAACCCACCCCATGGGCTTCGCACGTACCTTTGGTACCTTTGCTTTGTGTCGTATATATGACGGGTGTTTGGAGACGCTTCAGCGTGTGTTCTGACTGCAAGCCGTCCTGCTGCTCTCGCGCGAAAGATCACGTGCGCCATGATCGCGCGGGAAACCACGCTATATCGACCTTCTTAATATTTTGGATATTCCAGATTTCTAGTTCGTTCTGGTGATTCTAGTTTGAGGCCTTCCCGTCGATTGTGCCAGGAACTCTGTCTATGTCAATGCGTCAATGCTATGGTGGCAACCCTCGTGGATTTTCCGCCTTTTTTTCCTTTTTCAACAACTTCTGTCTAGCCTTGTTAATGGATGAACCTATTGAGAATGTTTTGACTGCCTCATCGTATTTGGTAACTATATCGACTGTATTGACCTTAATGGTTCCCAAGTCGCTGAGTAAGAGCTGTCTCCTTCATGAAATTGGACTTCTTACGTATGAATGCTGATAAGTTGTATTGTTCAAAATATCCTTGTATAGCACTACATCTCCTCCTGCTGTTCTAGGCCTAGCGGACAAGTGGTTCATGTTGTTTTGCGATTAGTTTTGTCATGTGATATCCTCTTAGGTGTTTGGGGTGATGATCATCACACTCTTCCCTCATTGGCCCACCATTGATCTTATCTATCATAACATGAATTCACACGGATCCCCTACTTGTGGTTGCTCAGCACATTTATTCGGTGGTCTGCCCGTCGCACTCTCCTAGCTCACCGATTCCACGTGGGATGTCGGTATACCCGTGTTTCGGAGTTTCGGTTGAGCCCCTATGACCCCTGGTGTGGCGAGTGGGCACCATAGCCGACTGGTGCGGGTCTGTGCTGCGTTCGGCCTCTGTATATTGTGTTCTGCAGCCACGTCAGTACGCTGATCTTGTGTGATGTGATAGACTGTCAGAGGTTCGTTCCTGAGCTTCAGTAGTGAAGTCTGATCCAATAAGTTGAAAAGGGGTATATGAACCCCCTGTCCTACAGGCCTTCCTGTCAAGAATTTGTCTGTTTGGTCATTTCGTTAATTTTGTTTCTCTCACCTCTTAATCTCTCTTGTAATGCAGAACCAGCGGCTCGAGCTTTCCTTTGTAGCGCGCCTTTTGAGCGCATTCAATAAATAATAAATAATAATAATAAATATAAGACGAATGCGGGAACATGAGACATCTATGCTCCAATCGGTCGTCCTCCCCGCTGTCCTCACATATTCTCAACTATTTGAAGTGTTCACTTATTTCCTGTACGTAACCACGATACTAAATTAGATAAACGTTTCTTATCTAGTTTTCGGTGCTTGAGGGATTCTCAGTATATTGGTCGCGTAGGATAGTTATCCGCGTGGCAGCCACAAATTCGCGTACGAAGCAAGAGACTTCCTCATGTTCGGGTTACTGTGTCACACATTCACGGGACGATTAA